ATTATTCCAAAAATAACTCAAGATGAAAAAAAAAGCCGGATTTTGATATCGCTGAGAAATACTGCTGAGAGATGGATGGAAGTGATCTCCATCGTTAGTACGAACTAGATAGCGTTGAAAGACGGCCAATTTTTTCTGCGTTTGCGGAACCAACACTAAGGTAAGAGATGGGTCTTCATCTTAATCCCTAAGACTGAGGTGAGAGATAAGTTGGTGAGTACATCTCTCATTGTAGACGAGAGATTATTTAATGACCATTTCCCTCAGTAGAGTCTGTGATGTCGAAGTATTTTTGGCTATTTTCGTGGATATGAGGAAACTGTTGTCTATTCACAACATTTGAACGTCGGTCTTTCGCTGCATATATCGTAAATGCTAGGTCAAAATAGTGTTGGGAAAAATTGGCACAAAGAAAGATTATTTTTAAAACCATTCGCTTAGTCGATATGGGTAATATAGTAAAGTATGAGATTAATGCGGGTAGATGACCACTGACTTTAGACTTCAGGGAAATATCGCACAGAACTGAAGACAAAAGCTCACTTATCTGAAGAACGTTTTGCTCAGTGTAGACCTTTGTTATGTTCTTGATAAAGATCTACACAGAGTGAAAGGTTGTCTTGAAAATTAAATATAAAGAAAAGAAGGCTAAAGGTAGATTAAACTGTCTTTCATTACAATAAATTATTTTGAATAAATTATTACATTTACTCTGGAAATATAAAACTGGAATGTCAAGAGTTTCTATAGCTAGGCTTCACGGAGATAAAATTGGGAAATAGTTTTTCCAAGCCACTGTCTTCCAGAACGGAGATACTCCAGGAAATTCTCGACATTTTTATTTCTATGAAAATTTCACTTGGAATTTCCTCATTGCCTAAACTTAATAAATCTTAATAAAATAATATATGATAATAAATACAAAAATAATAAATAATTTTAATAATATTTTTATTGCATTAAACTTTTATTTATATTTTTTATTATTTTTTTAATTATCACATTGATACAGAGTCTGGGGAATAGTAGGTATCCGGGTATAGTTCAAGGGAAAGATAGCTCTAATTTCTTGAATTGAAATCCTTCACCAGCGTCAAGGCAACCTCTTATATATGGATTAGAAAAAAAAATAGCTTATCCTACTGTCCTGCACCCACGATATTACGGATTTTATAATTAATATCTGCTGAAGTCGCTCTAATACATTATATTTTCTTACTTCTAAGCTAGACACTTCATATCTTTTAGGCCGATTAGTGCAAGATAGATACTTCGTTTTTGAAAAATATTGTTAAATTACCACGATTTTTGAGTGTCATATCAAGGTAAAATAAGAGCCCAGGGAATTGAACCCGCATGTTTCTGGTTGTGCGCCGCCTGGTCTAACCATTGCTTATTTGCTCCGACAAGTAGGATTACCAGGATTGTCAGACAAAAAGTGATGTAGGTTCTCGGGGCATTACGCTGTTGCAAGTCTCATTTTAATGATGATAATTTCATTGTGTTTTACATATCCGCTCCTGGAACTCGCGCCGTTCAGAACGTGGGATTCGAAGCTGGTGGTAGTGGTATTTTGTTCGTCAGGAGAAATGGGAGGATTTCACCACACGGGTGCCATAGCCATAAGATAATATGCTTGGTGGAGTTTACGGTCATTTGACCAAAGTCTTGTCCTGGCTTACCCATCCACTCAGTAAACAAATAAATGTCACATCATAAGATGTGATGATAGGTCTTCCACCCAACAGAAAAACACAGTAGTTCATTGGTTTGTAATTTCATTGAAGGCCTATTGATTACAGTAGGCTCATTAAGGCTGCATATAACCCGGTCACTACCAGTCAAGAATACTTCAGTCCATATAACTGGGGGTTAACATAATCTCTCCCTGAAATATTTTAAGATTATTCAATACCCGTTATATACAAATTAATATTTGCTCATTGTCTCGATAGTATAATAGTAAAATCGTAATATGTGAATATTTGCCAAAAATCTCCAAGAAAAACAATTAACTAAGGTCATGCATATTCTTTGATAAGTTAGAACAATCAAGCTAATTTATATGATGTAAATATTAAAAAAACTTAAGTTAGCTTATATGGCTATTTTTTTGTGTATAACTTTAACTGTTTTCCTTGGGGAAGGGATTCAAGTGATCCTTAAAAGACTTATTTTCAAAAGACAACAGTCAAGCTGCAAACAATCCGGACACCTGTGTTTGCTATTGCAGTTACAGAGAACTGTTTACGGTGGGTGGATGACCTATGTAGTAAAATGATGTAGTAAAATGATGTGGATGACCTATGTAGTAAAATGTAGAATAATACATGACTAACACGTGGGTTGTGATTATTATTTTGAGCTGAGCTCAAATAATCGTGCTGATTTTAAGCAACTCATCGGATACTCTTTTAAAATATTTTTACTCGTCTTAAATTGTTGTTATATTATATGATAAAGTTTTTTCAAAGTATATAACAGGCAAGAGACTGACTCGCAGAAAACATTTCTCTGTATAATTCGGCATCTTAAAACAGACAAATTGCGAGGCTATTATTTTTACTGGGTATTGATATAAAATCTTGCTTGTACTGTATATATGAATTCACAGTGACATACACAAAGAATAAGAAGACACAATACCGTGGCTGGAACAATACACAAATGAAAATACTGTAGCTCATTGTATTATGTAGCCATGCGACTACCATTGTCATCTGAAAAGATTTAGATGAAGCCAAACTATGATGGTCAAATTCTTCCACAATGTTTTTCCCTTTGATACCCGCCCCAAAATTGGCATCCCATTATATAACTTGAAGAATGCGAGAGAGCCGATGCAAAGCTACACATGTGTATCTACTCCGGCTGATATCCGTATTCCTCCTCAGCGCTGGTGAAGAGTGCTGCCGTCCATCATAAGAAAGCTGACAAGCTCAAAATGTAACATACTTTAATGATCATCACATTATCCCTGCATTAATTGAGAGTCTGGCCTCTACAAACTTTTTACCACTTTACTCAGCTTATCTATATTTTACTCAATAATTTACAAAAACTAAAACAAATGGCAGAGCATATTTATGTACACTTAAGAAAATTCATTACCATTTCCTAAAACCATACTAATGTTATAGTAAAGTCTATGGGCTATCGGCAACAATACTAATAGCAGTTCCTTCATATATAGAGGTCATATACACCGAATGGTGTATATGTCCTGTATATATGGCGAAAAGGATACGTGCAGCCTTAATGAACCTGATGCAGTTGATAGGCTTCAAACCTCATTAACCAACCAGCCTAACCATATACACACCGTGGATAAACACTATGAATGTTTTGGCGTATATACACAGAGGTGTGCATATATCAACATATATATAAAGAGGTGTGTATATCTCAACGTATATGCATAGATTATTATTATTATTATTATAAAAAAGAAGCGCTAAGCCACAAGGGCTATACAGCGCATATATGCATAGAGAAGTGTGCATATCTAAATATATAATCTTGAAGAGGTGTGAGCAGCTTAACGAATACACCGAAAGGTTAGTAGCACTAATTCACATGTAAAGAAAGGTGTGCTTATATGTCAGTGCAGTTCAAAGGTTACCTTATTTTAGAGTTTAAAGTTTAAAGTGGATTGTTGATGTATATTAGTAGTACAGCCTTAACAACCCTCGTTCAGTACACAGGTTTTGTACCTCACCAGCCAACTTTAACTTCACGATTCCATGTTACACTGAAATGAAACCCATAACCATTTTGGGATTCGAACTGAGGCTTGCAACATTCATATGCTAACATACTCTGTTCGTTGGCTATTATTTATTTATTTATTTATTTATTTATTTATTTATTTATTTATATTATTATTATTATCATAATATTATTATAATATTATTATTATCATTATTATTATTATTTTCATAATTCCGAATCGTTAAACTCGTAAGGATATACAACATCAGGGAAATGAAATGTAATTCGATCGAACGATAGGTAATTAGTTTCATTTCCTTGGATTAAGAGCCTTTTATTAGCATCAAGGCAACTATTTCCCTTGACGGTCCCTGACCAGATTCCTTTTACCACTGCGGCACCAGTTTAACGGTATACTGTACCCACCATTCTCACAATTCATGATACTTAGCCTTACAAGACTAGGAGAATAAATGAACGACAGTGTTTGAGAAGCTTTACGAGATTTGAATGATAGTATAGAAGAGGTTCGGAGACAGCCTATCCAAGAGGTTCAGTAGAATGTGAACCAGATAGTTGTTCATTTATATATTTACTAAAATATAAAATGAACTAATATATAAAAAATGTAGAATAACTAATATATAAAAAGAACGTTGATTTTATTTATTGGCTTAACTCAAGATTTTAGTAAATGTTACAATGTTTTTCGAAGTCTACATGGCATGCATCTATTGTAAAAAAGATAGAATGCAGAGGACAACATAGCAAACAACCTTGACAATGGCAGCTCAGTAAACGACGAATTAATTCAAAGTTTAAAGAATGATTAATGACCCACATCAAAGATGACATCGATAACTACTGTTTAAAGAGATGTAAATCCGACATTAATTCTGGAGTGTTATGAAGTGTGTCCGAGATCTGTGATGTGTTTGTCTGCTCCGTCTTTCCTTCCTCTACCTTGACGATATCATCTTTGTCCTAGTGAAATCTCTCATCTTAGGATAACAGATTTCATGACTCTATATGACTATCATACAGAGTAATGCACAATACTTATGTGTCCAGTTTTGATTAATTAAATAAAATCACAAAATTCACCTCACCGTAATGGGAATAATTAAGAAAGTGGTGTATGTTTTAGGTCATGTGAGTATCTTAGGTCGTGTACGGGTCACAGGTCATGTACGTGTCTCTGGTGTAGGTTGCGCACGCTTAGGTATACAACCCCGCGGCCCCACGTGTGGGCGTGGGTGCAGGCGTGGCAGGAAGGGCAGGTATCTTACCTGGTTTAGGTACGTTCCTCTTGACCTGCATCCACTTGTACGTAGGTACTGACTGTTGGGGCTGGTGGTGGGGAAGGGCGTGAGGTGAGCCGCCCATCATGCCTCCCACTCCACACGCCTCCCTCACACCCTCGTGGTGGGCATAAAGACCCATACTCATATGTCTGTACTGGGCGGCGGGGTCCAGGTAACCTGGGTATGCCCCCGCTGCCGCCGGCGACATGACGCCCGTCTGGCCGCCCACAGCGGCGTGGGCGGCGCTGGTGTAGTCGTAGCCTTGAGAGACGTGATGCTGGGCAGCTGCCATGCCCCCCGCAGCGTGCCCAGGATAGCATACGCTGCTATAGTCATCCAGGTTGGTATAGGATGAGGGCACGTCTTGTAGGCTGGTGTGCTGCGGACGGTGGTGATCTGTGGGCGTGAGTGCGGGCGGGATGTAGGTCTGGCCCTGCACCGCCTCGTGGGATTGGCACTGGGCGTAGTAATGTTGCAACTCTGAGGAGTAGGCCTGGCTGTGGTAGCCCGAGTCTGCGTTGCACACCCCGTACACCATGTTGGTGTTCATGTGGCCGCCGCGCGGGACTTACTGAACATCGCCCATGTCTCGTTTCCCGGCCCCCCTCTATCTCTCTCACTCTCTCTCTCTACCCCCCTCTCTCTCTCTCTCACTCACTCACTCTCTCAGTGCCCCGCCCACACCCTCTCGCCCCGCCCACACCCCCACCTCCACACCTCCGTCTCTCGCGCGATACACCAATTCCCAACTCAATACACAACCCCCCCTCAGAGTTACACAGGCTATGTACACACTCCGGAGGTGATGTCAGTGTTGCCGATTGGTACACGCCTACGGCCATGTACGTGCACATGCAGGCAGATACACACACACACACGCACACATAAAAAAAAACTTACATAGTCATTTAATTCTTTAATTTTACGTACAAGAGCAAAGTGTTGTCACTTCGATATAACGAGCGAAAATTTATTTTAAGATAGCAAGGTAAATAAATCCGATTCAAAATATATTTTCATAAATTATTTTAAAACTTGCAATTCTTCAGTATGACAGTATTATGACCCTCAACAATTTAATTAATTTATAGTTTAAGTCAAGCAGGCAAAATTCTTGAGACCTTCTTTACAAACTGTGATTGGCACATTTATATATTACAAGCCTATAAATTGTACAGGGGAAAAACTAGACGACGTTTCGGTCCTTCATTGATTATTAACAAACCATAAGCTCAGGATGAATAGAAAAGTCTCATAGTTTTTTCTTTATAATTGATTTGCTTGTAATTTGTTCCTACCACAGTACATTAAATCAAAGAACGGGTAGAGTTCGAACCCATGGCAAGGGAGTCCTAAAACTCGCAGGCCAGTGTGTTAACCACTGGTCCATGCCGCCCTAACAACAGTCATCCAACTAGGTATATTTCTATACACCATAGGGAGGTTAGCATGGGCCACCACTGTACCGAAAAATGCAGGTTTTTAAGAGACGAATCTAACACTAGCGTGGCTGTGTCGTGCTCTAGCTCAAGCCCCTTCAAAACCGCCATCATGACTCACAGAATCGTAATAACACAATTGTGATTTGTTTACATTCGTGAATTGTTCCGCATAATATTAACTACGATAAATTATAAAAAAAATAATCAAAACAGAAAAACCATTCATTAAACAATGTTTATGTCTGTTACATGTTTCTCTATTTTTCTAAGCTTTAGGAAATATCTCCAAGTTGCCAATATTAAATACACAAATGCTTCATCCCATCTGTTCTTTCTTCTTCCCGAGAGGATAAAATCCCGTCCATTTCATAATCTTTTTCGTCCATATGGCAATAAGCAATTTTATTTCACCTTTCTGAGGAAAATATATTGGTGAGATTTGGGCTGTTAGGAATGCATACTTACATATATACATAAAGTTTAAAAGACTTATCTAACGTTATTAAAATTAGAATAATAGTCCGTTAATTTTGTTTAAGCAAATAATGACTATCAAAGTTAAAGGAATTAATGTATGGATAACCATTCTTTTACTAATGTTAAATATTGCTTCCTCATATTATAACTTAAGTAAACAACAGAAACTGAAACAGTGAGAGTGGATAAGTGTTTCTTAAGGAAAATCTTGTAAAATATTTAATTAGCATCAGAGACTAACTTGAACACAATGAGTAAACTACAGTTTTTAAAGTTTTCATAGATTTTTTTTTTCAAACAAAGCGGATATAAAAGACAAGATGTTTAAGATAAAGGTGCTGAAGTATCTTTTTTTTTTTTTAAGACTATACAGATAGACTTACCGAGGGACTAATCATGGTTTTTATATTTACCGTAGAGAAAGATAAAATAAAATAGCATTTCTTGATGCTAGTTTGGAAGACGCTTATGATGGCTCTAACAGTACGGTATACAGGCAGTTTACTTTAACAGTACGGTATACAGGCAGTTTACTTTAACTTGAGTAAGTCTGCACTTTTTATCTTTTGTTCCCAGGTAAACAAATATGTGGATTACAACAATTACAATGACAGCAGCATATAAGAAGAAAGGAATTTTCTTTTTGGTTACAATATACTTGGGGAATACAAACCAAGCAGAAAAGCTTCCCAGATGTGACTTATTTTCTGAAAAAAAACTGCTTTTCTTATCACGACAAACAACAAATCAAGGCAACACAGTATTTCAAAGTGGAGTTGAAAGAAAATGAAGAGGGTGAATACAAGAGGGGACAGATTGAGGGAAGAAACTAGAGCCTGAAGTCAGAGATTGAAAGGACTTAATAAACAAAACCGACTATTGAGAATTTACCTTTGCTAACGTCAATGACTACGCTAACGTAGACAATTAGCATCTCGACGGTCTTGTAATACAGGAACACTAAACTTCATACTGGCTTTCGAATTAGGAGAGGTAGTAAGACATCGAAACAGAAACGCAGTCCTTGATAATGCACTACACCGATACAGGAAAGAACCACTGTTAGGGCAAATAAATACAACTGATCTCAATAATTAAGTATCAAGACCGTATGAAGAAGATCTCGGCTATGGGCCCAAAAATCAATTGTGACAATTTTTTTCAAGTAAGTTCAGTCTGCTAAGACAAATAGCTTTCAAGTTCCGACATGTAATTTCCAGGATCTCTTACATACAAGTGAAAACGAAGATATTTAACAGCATGGCAGACCAGGATAGAGAAACCATAAAGAGAGAGTACGAAATATGGAATGGCAGGGCGCCGAGTGAATATGATCGAATTCGTTATGGATACCGAGAGCTAGATGCCGTGTGATGTAGTTCAATTGGATGAACAGTTAGTTGCACTCTGTAAGGAAGTGGATACTTGCTAAATGTTTGCGCCAGCACAAGCAATGGCGAAATCATTCTCATTTAAAGTGTATCAAGCTCTCAGAGGTAGTACTGACGCTAGACCACTAACAACTAATAAAAAAGGGTTGTGGTGAGTACTTCTGTTTGCAGAACCTTTCTCAGAGAAAATTAGGTGAAATTCTATTAGTGATAGGGACACTAAAGTGTCGATCTGTCGTAAGAGCCTCAAGAAACGATGTTAGATCTTATCCCCGGTTCAAAAGAAGGGACAGGGATAAGACTTGAAACTGTCATGCAGTGTCATAATACTTTCTCGGAATCGAAAAATCCTACCACAGCAAAACGACCTTAGAGAAATACAGCACAATGCACGCATCGAGGTTCAATATTGGAACGACCCCTTCTGCATCCAAACTGATGTTGAAATATACTGCTGTGGGCCTTCAAGTACCACACTAGTCTCTTGTTAACTATACCTTGCATCAGTTATCAAATGGAACTGATGAAACCTATGGGTATGTAGTGGGAGAGTTCACAACCTGACATAACCCCCTTTCCAGCAAGTCATTGAGCCACATTGCGACCCACCCAAAAGGAGATGGTAGCGATTAAAAACATCTAAAAGGCAAAGATAAAACTAGGAATAATGGAACATCTGAAGATAAGTGGTGAGAAGGAAATGTACAAAGAGTAGATTGTGTATCACTTTCCTAAATTAATGTACTCTGCGGTATAATGGAGTTTGGAAAATCACTGCACACTAAAAGTGTACTTTTATTGTAGGAAGCATCAGGGTAAGGATCGAGACTGTAACAGAATGCATCCAGAGATAAGAAAGCTCGTAGTTGTAAGCTCTTCTCCTCTATGTGCGGGTTATTTGTATATGGAAGATCAACACCTGGAGCTCTACTCGATTTTCCTATGTATTATATAATATTCCATTCCATTGTAAAACAGACAGAGCTTAAGAAAACAAGAGTTATATGGGTAAATGATCAATGAAATCGAGCTCTAGTAATGAGTAAGCGGACAGTATTAGTAGGTTGTGGGGACGCAGGAGTAGAGGGAAGGGAGGAAGTAGAAGTAGGAGTAGATCGTTACATTAGGCTTGAGAATGTAAAATTATTGATCAATTCAGAGAGAGGCGAATCCACAATCATGAACGATGACAATGGACGATGACCATGAGCGATGACCATATTTCTTGGAGTAATCAGAATGTATATCTCTGTGTACATCATTTATGTAAGCTGAGATGTCTTCTATCGTCTTCTGCCCTGAAGGGAGAAGGAAACGATGTCGCGGGACGTGCAAGAGATGGTTGTCTACTAGAATGTGTCAATGTAATCTGAAAAAAAATCATAATGAACGACTCTAACTTAATTCATATAAAACTTGACGGAAGTCGAACCAAAGACAATGTGGTACAAAGCCAGTGCTCTACCACTGCACCGTGGTGGTTCCAGTAGAAGAAAGCAACCTTCACATACACAGCCAAGGGTTCGATTTCCTTCGAATTTTACGTGAATTTATTTACAGTCGTTCATTACAATTTTTACCGCGTTTATTGACAGTGGTTAAGAAGGGACAAGAGAAAGATCCATTACTAGCGCTGTGGAGATAATGAGCTGCAAAAAAACTTGTAGTTGACGCTGTGGCAGTGGCGCGTGATATAATTATCTAAATAACAAAAAAAGCACAATACCCTGACTGGAACAATACACAAATAACCCGCACATAGAAGAGAGGAGTTGACCACGACGTTTCAGTCCGACTTGGGCCATTTACAAAGTCACTTTGTAAATGGTCAAGTCGGACTGAAATGTCGTCGTAAGCTCCTCTCTTCTATGTGCGGGTTTTTTGCGCATAATTATCTAATTTATTTTAACCACCATATGTGTTACACACACACACACACAACACACACACACACACACACACACACACACACACACACACACACACGCACACACACACACACACACACACACATACACACACACACTGGATAGACTGGACACCTGGTCCAGCAACTGGCTTCTCGAATTTAATCCCGCCAAATGCAAAGTCATGAAGATAGGGGAAGGGCACAGAAGACCGCAGACAGAGTATAGGTTAGGTGGACAAAGACTGCAAACCTCGCTTAAGGAGAAAGATCTTGGGGTGAGTATAACACCGAGCATGTCTCCGGAAGCACACATCAACCAGGTAACTGCTGCAGCATATGGGCGCCTGGCAAACCTGAGAACAGCGTTCCGATACCTTAATAAGGAATCG